AAAAAAAAGGAAGTGACCTTGGGCAATCTGCCCATGTAAGAGAAAATGGAAAATGAAAGCCATTTCATGACTTTTGCCTTGAAAGATCCGCCCCATTTGGAAGAGAAATGAAGAGAAAATATCTTTTTCATCCTTCCACTCGAGAGGAGAGAAAAAGTAGAGAGAAAAGGAAAACTAAGTGAAGGCATAGTTTTGTGGGATTTTAGTTCACCAGTGAGCTTATTTCTCACTATCCTCTTGCCACAAAGCTTCATTACTTCTAGAAATTCATCCTTTGCTGAGAGATATTGGTTAGATCTCATGGTAGCTAAGAAATATCAAGGAAAAGGACTAGAAACCGCAATAAAGAAAATGTTACTAATTCATGGGTTCAAGGAAAGTTTAGGTAAGTAAAGTTTGAGTTTGATCTATGAATTTCTTAAGGAATTGAATTGTGATTGTGTGAAAATGTTTGTAGCAGCAAAAAGAACCCCATATGGGTGCCAAGAAACCCATGCATATTGGTGATTCACAAAGAATGGGAGATTTAGCTACCAAGGAGCTTCAGATTTCTTGGTTTTAGCTCAAGTTAAATTATTGAGAAAGGTAAGATGAATTGAGCCCTATTCCTTGATTGTTCATTCTATATGATTATGGTTTAGGAAGAATGCTTATACTAGTTATGAGTTTTGATGTTGTGTGAATGTAATGTTTTGAAGAAAGAAAAAGGTAGAAAATTATGCATGTAAAGACTTGAGAATTCTTTGGTAAAGTTACTACCTATGTGTGTGTGTGTGCAAAAGATTAATTGTGAAAGAATGCTAATAATAGCATGAATTGAACTATTTAGTTCATGCTTAGTGCTTGAATGAGAAAGGGGAATAAAGAATGGGCTATAAAAGCATAAAGCCAAGTGTGGGCAACAAGTGTGGGATAGAATAAATTGTAAAGTTGTTAAGTATTTTGGATTTAATTGCTACCAGAAAATTGACAAGTAAAGGATTGTTGGCGTACGTGTAAATCAAGAAGGATAACGGTTAAACAACAAGTGATATTGATCGATTAAGAACGCAAAAAGTTTAAATTGGCGAAGTAACATCCCGCGAAAAAAGGTGAGTAAAAGGTGTCAATTTCAAAAGATTCCATACTATAGTAATTGTCAATGATTTATTCAATGTCATTGTGGAAAGCATGAGTTGCTAGAAAATGATAGGCGGTTCAAATACCTATTTGTCAAAAGATTTATACACTGTTATTGTGGAAAGCATGAGTTGGTAGAAATGATAGGCGATTGTGAATGCCATGATTTTTGAATTAGCTTTATATATAATATATAAGCTATATATATAATATATATAAGTTATTGGGGAACAAGCTCTTTAGCATAGTTTATGTTGAAATGCGCCTTACTTGTTTTTGCGATGTGCATTCATGAAGAAGCTTTATGTTCACCTTGCTTTGATTTAATATTAAAACTTCATGCAAAGGTTTTACATCATTTATTCTTTCAAATGGATTTATAACATTGCCGTGATTTGTTTTGAAATGGATTTAAAATAAGCTTTTGAGAACTCAATTTGGTTACAAATGATTTTGTTAAATCAGGAAATTCGAGAGTAGGTCAAATGTCACATCAGGATAGTGTGACCCTTGTGCGCAAGTAAGCTCTAGCTAGAGAACCTTTGGGTCACCAACAAACTGTTAAACATGGCTAAGCCATGGTTTGTGATATATACGTGGCAAGGCTATGAGTTGATATATATGGCTAGGCCACAAGTTTATATACGTGATTGCGACCTCATGATTTCTCTAATGTTGACCAACATCGTCGAGACTGCCATGGCTATGGTAATCCAGTAGAATGAGACCTCTCGGATGTTATTATGTGAAAGAGAGTCCACAAGTTGATTATCTATGATTGACCAACATCGTCGAGACTGCCATGGCTATGGTAATCCAGTAAAATGAGACCTCTCAGATGTTATTATGTGAAAAAGAGTCCACAAGTTGATTATCTATGATTAACTACTCAAGAGTGATATCTCTTTGGGTTTTCAAATATGTATTCTTTCGCATGGTGAGAAATATCGATTTTTTCACAACTCCCTTATTTATACAATGGTTGTGTTTAATACCTCGAGTGCGAGTTCATTTATTTGCTTGTCTATAAGCATCGACATTGCTTGATTTTGTGAGAGTGTGCACGTATGTTAACCCAATTTTGAATAAATGACAAAATGATTTCGACGATAGAAATCTTTTAATTGCACCGGTTTTAAAATATTACCTAAAATGGTTACTTTGTATCACAATTCTTTGATATATGTGCAAGGTATAAATGTTCCATTTGATTTTAAATGATTTATATATTCATATGCTTTTAATATTCAAATTTTCTATCCATAGCTTGTTTCCCATCTACAACCTGCTCACTAAACTAATGATCACCATGTCTGTGAGACTCACCCCAATATTCTCATTTTGCAAAAAAGTGATTAACTATCATATACTTTTACAATTCGAACATATTCTCATCACAGCAGTTGTAAGTAAACATCTCCTAGTACTCTATTCCGAATCGTTTCGTTACTAGAAGTCCTTGATTGTCAATAGATTTTAAGAAACTTGCCATTTCTTGTAAAATGTAAACATATATTTATATGATGATGAAACATAATGTATTGAGAGAATATTTGCCATTAAATGAAATTGTGACGGTTATGAGATTTCCAAGAGACATGTTATGGTTTGTTAAATAGATAATTGCGAAGGCTTATGAGATTTCTAAGAGACATGTTATGGTTTGTTAAATAGATAATTGCGAAGGCTTGCTCGAGACTCGGCGAGCTTTCTTGTGAGACTCAAACGCCGGTAACGATCGGGGAAAAAAATCGTTACAAAACACATCATTATTTTACTTTGTAGGAACAAATTGTCTTGCTCAACTCAACTTTTTATGAAAAAAGGCCACATCCTTTAGATCATACAATATTGACAAGGAGTCATAGAATATGAAAGTAGAGTTAGACTCAGCATTAGTGTTGAAGAAAATAATACTCTTGGCTTTTGATGAATGCAAAGACTTGGAATTGTTCGGATCCTGTCATATACCTCTTGTCCTCTAAATGTCAACTAAGTCGTCTAATGTTCATTTCATAATGCCAACAATGTTCAATGCAGAATTAATTGCAATTAGGAAGCATATGCATGCTTCGAAACTGTGCAAATTCATTAAGAGGCACCCATAGGGTAGCTCTAAACAGGGGGAAAAATTCTTCAAATTGCACAAATAGCACTATGACTTATAAAAGGTATGAACTGCAATAGCAACCTTTACCAACTCCATTCCACCCACCAAAGCCATTGGAGTTATTTCATGTCCTAATTAATCTGTGCACATAGTGAACATTAGGAACACTTCACTAAGACGCATCAACTTTCATCTAGAAAGATATATCGGAAAGTAAATAAGGGATTCAACAAGAAAATGCCATCAAACTGCATTTTTAGAAATGAGTGAGCAGCTCAAGCTTACGAGCCTGAAAGAACTTACAGCTCCCTTTGGCACTTGATTCTATTTCTTCACTCTTCCTCTTTGATGTAGTGAAACCAACATTCCTTAATTTCAACTGCTTGCCACTGCTGCTGTTAGGGACATCTTCATCCACTTTATCAGATTCCCTATAGAATGCAAAAGAACAAATTTTCAATTAAGTGAACCTTAGATGTAGACAAACCAAGGATCAGAGAGTAGAGTGGAAGCATTAAAATAAGGAGTCAGTTTACAAATTAGACATATTAAACTCCAATTGGGCATGCATAAATAACATCTCACACACTATATATACATAAACTATAAAACAAATCAAATTCATTTCTAAGTCCTAAGTTGTGCACCTCCTAGTGGAATTGATCAAACTTACTGTTCACTTTTGAAAGTCCATGAATATGCAGAAAAGGAAGACAAATAACCAAGACAGGTGATCAAACTACTGCCGTTGCAATTGTATTTTATATATATATATATATATACACACACACACACACACACACTCATTTCTAAGTCTTAGGTTGTGCACCTCTTAGTGGGAATTGATCAAAGTTTACCATTCACTTTTGAAATCCATAAATTTATGTAAAAAGAAGACAAATAACCAAGCCAGGTGACCAAACTACTGCTGCTGCAAATGTCTTACTCTAAACTGTCCTACACAACAAATGAAATATGTAGTCATACAGCAAGAGAGCCACGGTATTCACTTTCACGATAAACCATCACAAACACTTAAGCATAATGAAGCAGTCAAATAATTTATTCCTTGTATCACCAGATTAGTCATAGAAAAATAGCATCATTTACA